CCCTTCCTTCTTCTTCCCCCAGCTCTATTTGCTGAGCATGACGCCATATGGTGTGGGATATCCCTTGGGTCAGTTGGGGTCAGCTGTCCTGGCTGCGTCCCCTCCCAGCTTCTTGTGCCCCCCCAGCCTGCTCGCTGGTGGGGTGGGGTGAGGAGCAGAAAAGGCCTTGACTCTGTGTCAGCACTGCTCAGCAGGAACGAAAACATCCCTGTGTTATCAATGCTGTTTTCAGCACAAATCCAAAACACAGCCCCGTACTAGCTACCATGAAGAAAATTAACTCTATCCCAGCCAAAACCAGCACAGTACCTATGTTACTGCAGGCAAACAAAATCTGTGTCTTCATTAGAAGAGTCTGGCTGTAATGAAAAAGCTGATGGGGGGGAGGAGATGGTTTGCTTTTTGAGCTGGGATGCCAGTTTTGCAAGGATTTGATGCCAGCTACCATTCAGTTTGTTCCTGGAAGACATTCACTGAGCTGCTGGTTGCTTGGAGGGAGACTGAAACACACTGTAGTGTCAGTTCTGAAATCCAAAATAATACTTCCACTTTACCTCTTCTACTTAGTGCTTCAGCACACAGATTGGACACTGGTGAACTGAGTTGAACTGGTTCAGTGGTTAGACTGTCCCTTCCCGTGAGAATGGCTGTAACACTTATCTATGGCTAAGCAGATTCTGCTTGTGAAAAGGCACGAGGCCTCACAACCTACTGTTCCTAGGATATACACCTCCTAGTGTTTTAGCTAAAAGGGAATTTCAGCTAGCTGTACAAGGAGATTAACGCTAAGAGGATATGTAGGCTGCTGCCATGGGAAGAAGCTCGCCATCCCTTGAGCACTTCTGACACAAAACCCACTAAAAATCTCTCTAAATGAGAAGAAAATGGTCTGAGTACTTCGTGTCTAGATGGTAAATGCAAAATGCCACAAATCCACATGTTTCTGAAGCAAGTGTCTGTATTCTTGCTAGGAGCAGAATTCCTTCCTGCTGCTGTCTTTGGATAAATCCTTTTCTTTGCTTTTTCTTTACTTTGGTACAAGGCTACAGGCTGAAGACATACTGTTCCCTTGGAAGATGGTGCCAGTGTATTCATTCTGGCACTAATGAAAGGACGTTCTGGCACATGTTCCGGAATCTTGAACAGTCCTTATTTCTCAATTTATTAGTTCGACTGCAGAGCTACAGCCAGGATACGTTCTGGGGCAGTTGTTTTCCTTGGGTAAACTCTCAAGGTGTCAGAGTGCAGGGCAATCTGCTGGGCGCTTGTAAAACAATTGTACATTGATCACAGTACTGTGTGATTGCTAACGATGAAAGTGGTAATATCTAGTCATGGCCATATAGTAATTGCAGTTGGAATTACTGCTGGGTAACAAACCAGCCCTATAGCAATCTGGCCATGTGAAGTCCATTAAAGTTAGCATGAGTCCTGGGCAAGGTATCAAAATGGGATGTGTACCTGACCGACGAAACAGTTTGATACTAATTTGACTGACGGATGTGCACAGTATGTAGATAATATTTTGGTCCCTAATATAGCAACTACAGAAGTCGCATTCCTTCGTATTTTTACAGCTTAAAAAATTTGGCTAGCTAGACTATGCTGTCGTTCACATTTTGTACTCTTCAGAATAGTTTCTTCTCCTGCCATAAAATGAAAGGACATAAAATCTTGCCTTGTGGAGTTGAGACGGTCATGTATACCTTTACAACAAAGGATGTTCTACAGTTCTGTAATTAATTAATGCCACTACGTGTGGATGGAGAGACATGTCTCGGTTCTTGATTCAGGTATGAGGCTAGTCCTCAGGTAGTCAAAGATCACTTCCTGGTGGTCGTGCAGATGCCAGGTATGACTTTGGCAAGTTTCTTGTTTTAGTAAATTATATTCCCGTATGTCACAGGCAGATGGTAATTCTTCCTTCCCCATACCCTTTGCTTTTGACTGTTTCAACGGGAAGTTAATCAGGATGGGGATATTTTCTTACAAAGTATTAGTACAAATGTATACAATATTCAGTGCTTTTCAAAGTAGGATTTGTGGATCTTATTGGGCTGTGGGGGAGTCATGTTAGCATTTAGAGCTATAAGCCCACCAGAAAGCAAGTTGCACCCAGAGAAGCTTGGGAAGACCTGTTCTAGGTGCTACTATATATCTAAATTTAGTTATTAATGGGTAAAAAAATCCTCTAGAACCTCTTTAGAAATGTTTTTGTTTTCCTTCCTGTGTCTACAGTAGCTTTGTAGCCAACAAAATGACCCTTCTTCCACTTATTTTTGGGCAAGTGCCAGGAAATGAACCCATTCGGCTGAATATTTCTCTCAACCTCATGCATTTTGGACTTAAGCATTGGTGCGTCAGCTGCTCTTCCCTGAGTGGTCTTGGCAGGGAGTTTTGGTTGACGAGAGAAGCGAGGAGATTCTTGTTGGGATGACAGGCTGGAAGATCAAGTGCAAACTGAGCGTCCCTGCTAAGCTCTTCTGGCATTTTGAAAAACTAGAAATCTAAAGCTCAAAAGGAAGTCTTAAATTTGTAGTCAAATTTTTGCGTGTTCCTGTGTAATGAAATAGCAGAATCTCAGCTGAGCTGCCATCCCAGTCCTGAGTCTTTCCTTTATGGGGATAAGGCTCTGGACTAGATGTGACCAGTCTTCCTGGTCTCTCATATTCTTGATAAAGAAACTTTTCTTGAACTGCTCAACAGCAACATATGGTTCAAGAAACAGATTTTCTGAGTGTCACTGCCGTTTGCAGAGCAGGAGACAACGTTAGATGTGTAGTCAGAAGGATCAAACTTGTTTTGGAGGGGAGAACAGAAACTGATCTGGGCATCCTACCTTCCAAATCTGTACTTCACGTGAAGTGCTTTTGTAAAGTCAGTTTAAAAACTATTCCGGTTGTAAAGGGCCAGATTCCTCTATCTTGGTCTGCACTGAGTAGCATCCTACATGCAAAATAAGGGGCTACACAATTTCCCTCTGTGTGCTGTACCCACTGAACTTGGGTAGGAGTGGGCTCAGGTCCTAGTGAGCAGCTTTCACCATGAGCTGGAAAGGTTTTTCAGCTTTGATTTTACAAATGCAAGGATGTGTGCCAGGGAAAATAGACATTTGAAGGATTAAGCTCCAAGTAAGGACACGCGAACAAATGCTAGGCAGCTCTGGTAGCTCAATTAAGCATTCTACCTCTCGCTCTTTGCTCCCCACGTGCACGAAAGGCTGATTCATTTGAAATGAAATCCATGAAATGTGCTAATACCTGCTCTGGTGTTGATCAGGCTTAATGTAATAACCTCCTCCCATTTTCACTGATTCTGCTGAGCAATCTGACGCACTTAAAACTTTTCTTTTCGTGAATAGCTAGCATTAACCTCCAGAGGCCTTTCTGTTAAAAATAAACCCACCACCAAACTGCCTGAAACAGGAGCTAGGGAATCTTTTCCTGTCCTGTTGGGCATGATCAGATAGTCCATATTAGAGGGAGACTCTTGAAAATAAATAACTGTATGTTGAGAGTGGATATTTATAGTATGGGCAGACCCTGGGTGGTATAAATCAGTACAGCTCCAACAGCTCCATCGCACAGAGCGCTTCACGGGAACAGTGAACCTGATCATTGCTGGACAGTCAGATCCTTTCCTAGCCCAAGGAGGAGCCCAAGGAAGCTTTTTCCTCCCATCCAGTCTTGCAGCTGGATTCCAGCTGTCCCTCCACGTGGCACATACAGTACATGAGAGCACAATTATAGCATAATGCCGTTCCGCGTGTGAGGCTGCCACGCTGGATAATGAGCAATTAGGTGGCAACGAAGAGAGAAAGGGAGGGAGCCCAGTGGGAATAGGGAGCTTCTCAAACTCTGTGGAGGGAGGTAGTGTCTCTGCACTCACCGTCAGCTCCAGGGCTTCGTTCAGGAGGCCATTGCGCTTGCTGTGAAGGTAAGCGTTGGAGCTGCCTGTTTTGGCCACTCGAATCCTCGCAAGTCGGGCTTTCTGTGAAGAAGGCAAACAAGATGAAGTTATACCTTGGCACACCAAGTGATCGGTCCTGTGCTGGCAATACTAGGAGGAAGGAAATTTCAGGTTCTCCTTGTACCTGAAAAAGCCTGGGTGTGAAATACAAGGGGTGCGCGGACAGGACAAGGCACTGTTAAGAACAGCTAGCACAGGTCTGTCTCCAGGAGTGAGGTGAGTACGGATGTCTGAAGAACATGATCTGCCACAGAGTGTTAATGGCCTTTCCAGAGATAAGAAATGGGCTCCTGCAGATTGGTTTATCCTTTAAAAAGTTAATAGTCATTTTTTGGGGGTGAGGTGCACAGCAACTAGAGACACTTGTCTTGGACATGTTCTTGGCAGAGGAGGACGGCATGACTGTACGTGATCTAGCAGTGTGTACATGCTCTGCATGTGTGTTGCTTTCATGGCTCACCTTCTCTCTAACGTGCTTGGTTGTTTAATCCTCTCTTTGTCTTTCAGCTCTGTGCTCTGACAACTGTGTTGTCACTTGCTCTGCTTGTACTGCAGCTAGCATGGTGACACCCGGTCCTCAGTGATGGTGGAGATGCCGCTACAGTGCAAGTGGCTAGTAACAGGCATTCAGAGGGAGGAGAGCTGAGAGGGAGATTGGGTAACTTGCTCCACTTACCAGTCAAGTAGCATATGTTGTTAATTTAATATTGGGAAATACTAATGAAAAAGTCTATGTTCATCATCCTGCAGTAGGGAAAGGCACCATATTTGTTCCTTTTGTCCTCTGCAGTGGCAGTGCTAGTTTATTAACTTTGGTATCTGATAATGTAAGACTGTCCAAAAATATGCATCTCTTGACAAACTGACAGAAGTCACTCTGCAACAACACAGACGTTCAACTCTTCTCATTTTTATTTATCCCTGACCTTCTTGACCTCCAGGTGGACAAGTTAAATGATAAAAACCAATCCAGAATAAAGCAAGCAAGAAAAACTAATAAGGCCCTCTTTCTTTTTAATCGCACAGTTTTTAGCGTTTCAGTTTTTCTTTTCAGTTGTGCCTGCTTCTCTGTCAAGTGCTGATTTGCCTTTTTCTTTTCTACAGTTAATTTATGACTCAAACACCATTAAAAGTAAATACATGAAATAGCTGTGGCTATTAAAAAATAATTACATTGTGCTGTATTTTAAAATGCTGCATAATCTTTTAAATAACATGGAACTCGTGATTTTCCTTTCTAATTAGAGGTTCTAATGGGTATACACTGTAGGAAGAGTAAAGCCAAGAGGCAAGTATCTGCAGTGGGTCCAGAGAGTGTAATAATTCCAGGAGCTCTATTACCGTACACGCGTGAGTGACTCTGGCCCTCAATATTTGAAAGATTTGTTTAACCTTAAGAGCTTCTGCTTAAGCAGACAATTTCTCAGGCAAAGACGTGTACAGGTTACTAGTTTGCAGCTTTAATTAGGTGACACAGACTATGACCAGTCTGAAAAATAGGTCTTCTTTTGACACCCCAAAATGGGGACATCCAAAATTGACTTTCCTTTCTATACTTCACCTAGATTTCATTGTCCCATTTTAACGTTAAGACTCCAAGTCAGTAGATGAGAGTGAAATCTCTGATGGAACTTACTGGGGCTGAGGTATCTCACAGGGCTATCTGGTCACCCTGTGAAAGGGGCATGAGTTGTATTTGCAAGTCGTAGACTGAGGGCACAACAAGAAAATGAAATTGGATCTTCAGTTTTTCTGAAGACTTTCTCAAACTGCTGTGTTGCTCCAGGCCCCGAATAAGACTGGCCTGAGACTGTAATCTGGAACAAAAGATGCAGAGACTACTACTATTGAAGATGCGTTATGGGGAGAGAGCAGGGGATAAGGGACTGAGGGATATTCCATTTCCCAGTTACATGGCATTGTCTCTCTGTTCCTGTTAATTACATTTTCATTAAATTATTTCTTCCATTTGCAAGTATATGACTTTCCTTGCTTTTCGCAATGATCTTCTCTCTTCCATAATCAGGATTCGATATCGGTCCAGTGATGGTCTTTACAGTGAGGCTCTGATGGCAGCCACAGAAGACTTCCATTTCTTTCTGTGCTTGACAAAATATCAGCTCCTTTGCTGAAGGAGTTACCAGAGTCCCCCAACTTACTCACCTCACCTATAGCAGGAAAGGTTTCATCCTCATCTTCAGTTCAGTCAGTTGTTAAAGTGGATTCAGTCTTAGGCTCTTGTAATGAACATTATTCCCTTTGCCTCCAGGCTAGCAGGGGATCAAATATTAATAGCTGTACTCCATGTGGACTGGAGATGGTTCGTTTCTGAGGTCTGTTCTCTTTTCTTCTTTGAAACAGGGCCACTAGCTGTCTGAATAATTAAGCCCCATAGCTTTTGTAGTTCAGAACAGACGTTGTTATTTTAAAAAATGTCAGTGGGGCAGGACAGAAGTTAATCCTATTCTCCTTACACAAAAGGCTGTCTAGGATAGCCACATCACCTAACTCTGTGCCCCAATCATGATTAAATTTGGTAGATATCTTGATTAACTCAGCTAGAGAAGTTAATTAAAATTGGTGCCTAAAATTGGTTTGGCCCTCCAGACAGTTTCCCACATTAGACTAGAAACAATTCTAAAACCATAGTTCATGTTTTTATGTGAAAGTCTGTGTGTAAATGTGCGTTATTTGGAAAGCATATCTATCAAGTGACACAAGCGTTACATGATATTTAGGTGCAGTGCATGTCATGTGTTTACGTGGGATGCAGTACTTTGATCATGCCTGACAGTAACGAAGGGTTTAAGCGCTGCAAAGCACTCCCCTCTGGCATCTGCAGTGGAGGTTCGACACTGGTTTGTGTGACTGAGCAAAGTGGACTGAGGACGCGAAGGGCACCTGGCAGCAGTGTAAGACTCGGGCCACAGTGTGGAAGCAGGTAAAAGCTGGCCCTTCCAGAGGCGTTTTGTGTTATCTGTTGGAACGCGTCAGTCTGGACTTGGCTGGCCGGCAGAGGTATGCTTTGGCAGATCAGGTGAGGAGTAAGTTACAGAGGCAAAAGTCTTCAACTTAGGGCACCCCACGCAAGCTTTGGAGCAGCAGTGTTTTGCAGGGAACCGTACTATGTACTGTCACGTATTTTGCTGTCAGAAACCTAGAGAATTAGGCTGATGGGGTCTTCCAAATTCTGCCAGTTTTTAACACGTGTGGGTATGCTTTTGTCATCTCTGTCCTGCAGAGCTCAGTACTTCTGGTCTGCAGGACAGAAGACAGACAAGTGGAGGACCATGTTTTTCTGGCCATCTGCTGCAAATGTCTTTTGGGGGTGGGGGGGATAGCCGTCTTCTGCATCTTAACCCACAAACGTGACAGACTAAAGGTCGTTAGGGCCAGGCCTGAGATCACTGTTACTGAATATAACCCCTGCATCGAGAGTCTAAAAAAGGAAAAGAAAACGGCACATTGTGTCTGCATGTAGAGTGGTAAGAGGAGTTGCTAGGAAACCACAGGATCTCAAAATGCATATGACCTAATCTGGAAGATAATTTATATGATGAAAATAATAATACTAATGACAGCCACTTACAGGTTAGAATGATTAATTTGGTTATCTTGGAGCCCACGTGTTCCTGAGAGCAGGATGGAAGGCAGGTCTCAATAACTTCTGGCTCCTTACTGCTTTTTAAGAAACTGGAGACTCGGAATAAGCAGGAAGGGCAGTGAAGCCCTGTACACATGGAGTGCTGAGGTACGGTGGTGAGGATGATGTAAGTGGCTGTCAGCATCCTGGGTATCTACATTTTCCAAAGGGACTGACAAAGAAGAAAGAATAGCCTATCTTCATCTTTTAGCTGCTTTGGAGAAGTGCAAGGAGCAGGAGCTGCTGGCTAGGAAAAATGCTTACCAGATGGCAGGCCCGGGAAACAGCTAATTGTTATTTATTGATGATTTTAATCTAGTTCTTATGGAGATAATGTTCACTCTTGATTTATGTGATATAATAAACTATTAAGTTACAACCTATGACATAATTTCATATTTGCCAGACATCTTCAGCTTTCCAGATCTTCCGTGCTTTTGAGCAAGGAGATGACTGGACTATATGTATATCAGGTACTATGTGTACAGGTCCTACGTCCACTCCTGCTCCCTCTTTGGACTGGAGCTGTTATTAGCGTTATCCTTCACAGAATGGTTGAGGCTGGAAGGGACCTCCAGAGGTCATCTGGTCCAACCCCCGGCTCAAGCAGGGCAACCTAGACCCAGTTGCCCAGGACTGTGTCCAGACGGCTTTGGAATATCTCCAAGGATGGAAACTCCAGAACTTCCCTGGGCAACCTGTGCCAGTGCACAGTCACCCTCACGCTGAAAAAGTGTTTCCTGACGTTCAGATGGAGCCTCCTGTGTTTCAGTCTGTGCCCATCACCTCTGGTCCCGTCACTGGGCACCACTGAAAAGAGCCTGGCTCCGTCCTCTTTGCACCCTCCCTTCAGGTATTTATATACATTAATAAGATCCCTCCAAGCCTTCTCTTCTTTAGGCTAAACAGTCCCAGCTCTTGCAGCCTTTCCTCCTATGAGAGATGCTCCAGTCCATATCCTATCTAACTTTATCTGCTAAAACCACACTAAGAGCACTCCTGGCAGAAAATGCAGCTACACTAGATAATTAACAGTGCTTCACATTTTTTTGCCTAAACAATTAGTAGTTTGAATATGAGTAGAACTATTGCTGACTGCTGCAGTGAGTCCACTGGTGCAGTAGGTGTACACCACTGGTCTTTTAAGGCTGAAATGAAGCTGTTCTCAAAGGTAATCAACAGAATGTTTTGATCTGATTTTTATTTCCAAGGTGAAATATCACAGCCATTCAGTAAGTGCTCGATTTTCTTGCATTTGTCTGCATCTGTTGCTAGTTTGGGTCTGGACTTAAATTGTAGATGGAAAGAAAATGGTTGATTTTGGGCTATGGAAAAGATAACAAGCAGATTGTACATTTAAACAGGAGTTTCTGCAGAC